CCTTCCAGGTTGGCTTTACAAGCGCGAGAATAGGACAAGCTGCAGTGCGATTACAAATCATCTAATAAACACAGGCCACCAGATAGACAAACGAATATCCTTTCAAATTCTCTACAAAATACGATCAAGACAAAACCATCGTCTAAGAGCAAGCATACTCGCCACCGCTGAGACAGTATGCATACGCCTAACAAATCCGGACTTATGTGTTCAGAAGAAGCTAATACCAACACTATTACTTCCCTTGCCGACCACCTGCAGTGAAGGAAATAATGGTACTCCGCAAATTCACCTGACTTCAGTCATGTGATCAGATGAATGCCATCATGATTACAAGTTAAATTCTCTGCTCAATTGTCTCTTTGTTACACTGACGATTGCAACAGACGTTAACCTAATGTATATTACTGCATGAGCCTGATGAAGAATTAATCGAAAACAATTGTTTGCTTAAAGCTTCGTGTTTTGTTTATCTTTCGGAACTTGACGTAACAAATGGGCATTCTACTTGAGTTGAAGCACACATGTTGCCATTCACCGTTATCCTGTCCAATAGATTGTCCTCGGCATGTTTGCTGAGCGCGATATCAACACTACAAATACCTTGGGTCATTGACTTAGTATCGCCAGACACGTGGAGTCGAAGATGCGTCACGACACTGTTATCTTTTGTGTGTTTCAGAGACGCAGCACACATCAATGCCAAGAGTGTGAGGTGTGGGTGTGAGTGCCACATTTCGGTCGATCTGACTCGGGTCCAATGTGGAATAAATCCCTTTGTTTGGGATTTGCGTTACATGTCTCGATGGCGCCAATTGCGATGTTAACGGCAAAACCAAACTTTCATTAATATGAATCAATATCAGAAATTAGTTCCGGGTGAGGAATTCTTTTCAGTAACTCTCATCGGACCCAAACATTTACAAATCAACTGATACTGTGGGGTAAGCGTCAACTCGGGCTGGGATTTACTTCTGGACTGTTTGAATGGTTAAAATCGATAACGATGGTAAACCAAGTAAACTAAATACACATGCATACGCAATGCTCAGTAGTCCAAAGTAATTAAGTAGGTAAAAGAACAGTCATAACTAAGTAACAGTGTCCGTTGGCCAAGGTAGTAGTTTCTACCGTATGAATCGTTTTTGTATACATAATTCCGACTTCAGATGGTGAATATAAGTAGCCTCGGCGATGGATAAGAGCTGTTTGCGGAATCCTTGGGTGTAGTGTTCAGGTAGTGAATAAATGACTTTGAAGTCATTCTCTGAAGCTGTGTGGCCACATTCAAGGAGGTGCGACATGATTGAGCTGTCTGAAGACCTAATTTCGCTTTTGTAAAACCAGGTCGGGATGTGTTCACGAATCCTCTGAGATAGGCGTCTTGTCGTGCGACCCACATATCGTGTGTCGGCCGGTGGCCGAGTGGTCTGCACGTTTGCTTTGCAACCATAAGGTCACCGGTTCGAATCCGCGTAGGGGTGGGCGTCCTCGCGGTATACTCAGCCCGCGCGCGACTGGTGGTGGTCGCGCGGCAGCGAAGCGCCGTTACGGCGTACAGCTGACACACTATTACCACTACATATCGTGTACCACAGGAGCACGAGTACTGATAAACAATCATTGAACGGGTCAACGACGGTAGTCTATCCTTGAAGGGTTTCGTAAGCAACGGCTTGTGAAAAACGATTCTCAGCCGGGCCGCGAAATAAGTTTTCTCGACAGCGTCTTTCAGGCGTCTGGATAACATCAGCTGCATAATCGCCCTTAAAGTGTATATGTATGAAAAGCTCTTTCTTAGGAGCAATGCTCCTAGGTGGCTTTCGATTGCGTTCCTTCAAATGTTTATGATAAATTTATCAGGATAACCATTTTCCCTGAGGGCGTCGCTGATTCTCTGTAGTTCTTCGTTGACGGTATCCGATGTACAAATACTGCGCGCCCGGAAGGCGAGAGATCTGATTAAACTTCGCTTATGCTGTAGCGGTACTTCGCTGTGAAAGTTAGTGTACTGCCCAGTCCATGTGTGCTTTCTGTGTACCTTTCTGCTGCATGATCCGTCCGAGTTACGGATAACCTCTACATCCAAGAAAGATAACCGGTTTCTGAGTTCGTGTTCACAAGTGAAATGCAGATTCTCGTGTGCGTCATTGAAAGCTTACAACAACTGTTCCGCATGCTTTTCGGATTTGCAAAGTACGAAGGTGTCGTCAACGTACCGTACGTACATTTCGGTTTCACGGATGTGCGTTGCAAGTGGACCATGTTCCAATTCCGCCATGAAAATATCAGCCAGCAGCGGCCCCAAAGGAGATCCCATGGCCACACCGTCAATCTGACGATACATTTCACCATTGAAGGTGAACTGAACATTTAACGTGCAAGGAAGTAGCACCTTTAGCAAATTCTCCGGAAAAGTTGCGTATATGGGCAGTTGCCGAGCAAGCTCGCATACGTAATCCACGGTTTCGAGCAATGGAATATTTGTAAACAACGACTGAGCATCAAATGATATCATTCTTTCGTTAGTGACGTTGTGTTCAGATTTCCTCTCAATGAATTCAAAGGTGCTTCTCACACAATAAGTGAAAACCATATTCCGTAGCTGCTGCAGCTTCTCCATCATCCATTGGGTCAACAAATGCTGGGGAGAACCTACCATGTCCAAGGCTGGACACATTGGGGCGCCTTCTTTGTGAACTTTATAAAGCCATCTACTCTCGATAGTTGTCCGCCTGAAGGCTTTCACTTTTCGAATTTGGTCTTCGCGATAAGTCTGGCTTGCCTCATTCACACGAGGCGGCCGGTCAGCTGTTTCTCTAACTCCCCTGTGTTGTCCTTTCCTGCCATGAGCCTCTGAAACTTACTCTCGTCACTGAGGATGTGCTGCATTTTATGGATATAATCCACCCTATCCATTAGAACTATGCCGGAGCTTTGTCTGGCTTAGAGATTATTAATTCCTTGTTTAACCGTAGCTGGATTTGTTCCCTAGTGATAAAACCAAACTTGAAGCAAGAATAGTATTGGCGACTGGATCTAGGGCAGATGATACTATTCAACTGTCCATTCTGAGAGAAAAAGCTTTTATTCTGGATGTCCTACCTTTGACTCAGCAGTCTGACTCACAAGACAGTCGGGTACCTTTATGCCCGCTTGAGGTACTCCATCCGGAGCCTTTGGCTTATTAGCCAGACTCGCGAGGCACTAGGGAGTAAGTTCAGCTCGGGGGTGTGGCTACAGAGTTTCGTCAGGACCTACTTGACTTCTACCTCAAGCAGCCTTTTACCGGCTTGAACAGTTATCATGTTTTCTACCATAATATGCTATGTACCTGTGACCAGTGCCAACTATAGGTGAACGTTGGCGGGTTTACATTCGGTATCAAAACATTGAGCATCGGGTTTACTTCCCTACAATCAGAGACACTGCGTGACGATCATACTCAGCGCCCGTTGAACTTTGAGCTTATAACCGGTAACCTGTAGTTACGCATGGCTACGTTTCGAGGGATAAGGGTCATCAACCTCTCACCTTCAGAAGAGGGTTGTGTAACTGACTTGGTCTGGCCCATAACTATTGGCCTGTCTGGTATGAATGGCTCTGAAGGCACTGGGAAGGTACCACCCAGCGGTACGCAAATCACAGCAACACATTAAAGTCCAGTCTCATCGTTATGTGGTATTGTTTCCGGACATTCGAAACGAAAGTAAGTTTCCCATAGAGTTTTATAGTGAATGACATGGGAGTGTTCGACTTCTTCATCAGTGATAAGCGGGAACTTCTGCCATTCGATTAGCCCTGCAAAATAAGGTTGTATTCTTGGATATGGCTTTGCTAGTGTTGACAATGAAAGCAATTCACCTCTTCGAAGAGATTTCAATGCTAGCTGTCACTTAAAGCACGAGTCTATTAAGTTCTTGATCACAAAATCGAGGAATTGCCTGTAGACGTAACCTCATCCGTGCATTCGTTCCGTTTTCACTAGGTTATCTGACATGAACTCGTTTCAGAATTCCAAACTTGTGTCCAACTGGTATTCAAAACGTTCAGCAAATAGGATACAGTCTTGGACAATAGGCAGTGCACCACGTATTCGGGAAAACTGTTTTAGCTGTGTGGCTGAAATTTCTCCTAACCTTTGTGAATGGTGAAGCTTTCTCTTTTGTGGTAGCGGCGTGTCGTATGAAGTTAGCTTTCAGATCAGACTGAGGTATGTTAGGAGCCGACTTACCGTGTCTGAGAGTACATAGTTTACTTCCGTTTTGGACAAATTCAGGGTAAAGGAGAGGGTTCCTGGCACGCCATTTAAGGATAGCAGTTTTAACTTATGGCACGATTAGCGGAGTCGAGAGCGGTTATTAATTGGGAGGAATTCGCCTTAGTGATTCTTCTCTTTTCTTTGCTCCAGAGCTTAACAAAAAGCAAATACGTGGCCAGAGTGAAAGCCAGCTTTACTCTTACCCAGAGGGTCTCGAAACGGATAGGTGATTTGTGAAGAGTTTTAGAGCAATGAACATGGTTAATGCCTGGTAGGCTTTCACGTGTCGTTGTTTGCATTTTTTTGATGACGAGGATGATTGGTACTCGCTGTTCTGAAGTTGACTCTTCAAAATCCCAATTAGTTACAATGGGCTGACCTACTACCAATGAACCAATCCCACCTTTTGTCAATGATGTAAAAAGACCACTGGGACCTGGTGCCTTGTTTTGCTTTAACACTGCATGTTCACGTTGCTTTTTTTCCAAAGTGAGAAGTGTGACACTGGCCTCTCAGGCGAACTCAGAACTTTCTGCTGTTATTCCTTTCAGTCGACATTTTTGGATTTTCGGCTTACCTTACTAAATTTTCGTTCGCAAGTTTGTAGACTTGCCCTGTAGCCTTGTTCTGTTGTCCGCAAGATTCATAGCAAATGAGTCTACTATGTGATTGTGCTCCGATCTTAACCAGTTAACTGTAATAATTAAGTAGGTTCTTATCTGCTTTTATAGCCACTAATATGAGTGATATTCCTGATGGGCGAACTCTAAGGGACTACGCTGATGAAGTCCAGAAACGTATCGACGAGGAACGGGAGCGAACAGAAGAAGAGAAGTTCCTCCGCTCTTCTCTTAGGGGATCCGATCGTTTGAAAGCCATCGAAAATTTTCGTAAAGTTGTTCGTCCGGGCTTTCACGAACCCCATCCGGAACTCAACGAAGCTTTTGAATACGACGAGGGAGATATTCCCTCTAAATCAGGTCAGTTTTTAATTTTATATGCCAATCCGTAAATAATATCGTACTGTTACACTACATCTTTTCCATACACGGTAGTTCCGTCCTCTTTTAACGAAATGAGTCGTAATGCTGACAGCTGGACTTGGCTGTCCTGGTTTATATATGTGCTCAATTAGTTTGACAACATTGCTGAAAACGATTTATCATCACACGGGAAAACATCATCAATGCATGGTGACACCTTGTGCTCATTGTTCACTCTTCCATTTATGCACTTTTCGGGTGTTGTGCGCCGTCTAGTCTTGCGATGCTCGTTGTGCATATACACATTTAAGTCTTCGGCGTTTTACGACCTTATTCTTCCGTACGTTGGTTGGCTGTTCCTAATGCACCACATCTTAATTCGATCGTTAACTGATTTTCTGGCTTCGCTCTATACTTTGCTGCGATATAACTACCACCACAAACCAGTGTTGGAATTTGGATAACCAATATCAATCGGACCGTTGCACTACTATCCTTGAATGTATTGTGCTCCGTTACTCGTAACATTCAATATCGACTCAGCATAGGCAGCGTTCGCACCGCCATAAGCGTCATTTATTGAGGGGAGTTGTCACTCCTATACACAGTGGCAACACAACTATTGTTCTGACTGTCACAGTGAGAGCAGCCTGTCACCGTTCGCATTCGCTGAACCAATGACATGCGAACCGATAACATCTGTCCACACTGATGCATTACGCCCAACGCACGCGTTGAAAGCACCCAGCAGAAATAATCGGTCGCTCCTCGGCGCAGACCGTATCACGGAGGATAGCTAAGTGTAGAATTGATCACGTGTGTCATCAGGATAACACATGGTCGGACCGTACGTGCTTATAAAAGTGGCAGACTTACCTCTCCGAGTCGAAGGCGAACAGTCATCAGTCGCGCGCTGATGCCCGTTGGTTCACCCAGCAGCAGGCCATGAAGACGATCGGATATTGCAGATCCGACCCATGGTCACTTGGTGCTGAGGCGGTGTTGCCCACCCAGTAGAATGTGTAGCCAACACCTACTTCATGCATGCTTCATATGCTTGGCGGCATCCGGATTCGGATTTGCCTGTCACTGTGGCCAGTCACAGGACGCTTGCGCCTACAGATGGACCGTGGGTGCCTTGCGCTGCACCACCCACAGCTTCAACCACATACCCCATATCCAGTGTAAATCCGGAGGAATAAGACCGGGAGGCGTGTGGATGGGAGCCACGTTTCATCAACGGAACCGGCCCACACTCCTTCACAGGCAAACACAAGCACGCTGTAGCTGAGAATCAATCGCACACAAGGCGGTGCCTGGACCGTTGTCCGCTCCACACTGAGTGCATGGAACCACTCTTCGAGCCAAGCATGACCACAAGGACCGTGCCCCCTTCCCTCCAGCAACGACCAACTATCTCCTGGAGCCAGTATGGATGAGGTAGTGGGTAATAGGTAGGCACCTTGTCAACATGCACATCAAGCGCAGCCACACCAAGGATATCAAGCAACAGCCATTTACTTGAGAGAAAGATAACAAAGAAAGAAATCGAGTAATGCATAAGGAAACGCGACAAAAATGTTAACTTAATGAGCATATGAAATAAGTTGCTAACAGGGGATCCGAGATAAGTTCGCGAGGTCAGAAAGTATATTTTACGGAAATGATACAAACACGAAAATGTTATCGAAATTAACTACGGTTGGCTTAAGCGAATTGTGCAGGTTTATAGAAGAGCGTACAGATGGACATTTATTTGAGAAAGAAAAGCATTACGACAAATTGAAAACCCACCACCTGAAATAGATTGACTTAGCATGCAAGCACGCGGTTAGTTAATCGAATGCAGCGTACCTACAAACGCTGCGCTGGTTCTGTCTACGTTCTCTGCAGCACCCGCTCGAGATATCGCACATCCCGCCGGTACATCGTCCACTTTTCACTGCCGTATAGAAGAACAGCACCATGGATTTGTACACCATCAGCTTCGTGCCAATAGTAAGCTGATGGTTGTTCCACACTCGGTACTCAAGCTTCCCGAATGCCGCCGCTGCCTTTGACACGCGGATACACAGCTCACTGCGTAGCTGCTGATCAGTCGACATCACACTCCCAAGGTAGCAAAAGCGGGAGGTGGTTTCCAATACTTCAGCACCAATGCTGATTTGCGGCAATATTGAAGATTGCACCTCCGGTAAAGGCTGAAAGAGACAGACACTTTTGCTTGTGTTGATGGTGAGTCCGATTTTGGCAGCTGTCGAAGCCAGAACACTAGTCATATGCTGCAACTCATCCGCGCTGTGTGAAAACAACTCACAGTCGCCAGCAAACAGCAACATACGGATAGTTGTCCCACAGACTAGAGTTCTCGCACCGAAACGACGGATGTTCAGCAATCCACCATCAATACGGTGCTTCACAAGAACACCGTAAGTACAAGCCGCATCAAAAGCACAAGACATCATGCCATGAAGATATATCTTAAACAGGGCAGGAGCTAAGACACAGGCTTGCTTCACACCAGAGACAATTGTAAAGTCATCCGAGGTCTCTCCACTCAGATGCACCTTCGCTCGCATACCACTGTGCAGACATTCAATTAAACTTAAAAACTTACGCAGGCAACCAAACTTACCCAACACCAGTCACAATGCCTTGCGGTTCACTGTATCAAATGCCTTTTTGAAATCAACGAAAAAGCGAGTACAATTGCTGGTGTCGTTCTCTGCACTTCTCCTGCAACTGATGAGCCGCAAACACCATATCTATAGTGCTGCGACCCGAACGGAATCCACATTGCTCTTCCGCCACGTTCGGTTCCACAACCTGACTGTCGAGGCGGTTGAGCAGGATTCGGGCAATCACCTTTCCCACACAAATCAGCAAGTTGATGCCAAGATAATTCGTGCAACTTTGCTTGCTCCCTTTACCCTTGTACAATGGTAGCACAAGAGCATCCTTCAGCTCAGGAGGCGCCTCCTCCTCAATCCCTACACGTTGCACCAATTGGTGCAGCGCAATCACCTACGCGGGTCCGCCGTGTTTCAATACTTCAGGCAGGATCCCGTCGGCCCCAGCGCACTTACCGTTTCGCAGCTGAGCAAGTGTTCTCTGCGTCTCATCCAGTGTCGGTGTGTCCGCCAGACTCGTCTTCACATCGTGCTGCTTCAGGCAGTTCAATGCAGGCCAGTCGATCTCTGAACGGTTGTTCAAGAGACAGTCAAAGTGTTTTCGCCAGATCTGCATTATGTCTGCAGTCTGTGTGCAGGTAGCGCCTGAACTACCATCGATCAGTGTCCTCAGCTGCTCCCATCTCCGTCCATAAATCGCCTTCAAGGAGTCAAAGAATTCCTTGTGTTGGCGGCGTTCGGCGTAGCATTCCATCTGCTTCGCCTTCTCCGTCCACCATGCATTTTTAATGCGACGGAGCTCTCGGGTCAGTCGCCGTCGAAGTTTTCGAAACTGACTACTCTTTCCCAAGTCACTGGATCTGCAGCATGTGCAGAAAATGCTGCATTCTTCTCCGACAACCATGCGCCAATCGTCGCATTGTTGTCATCAAACCAATCAGACCGCTTACAGTTTACGCGCCCGATGGTCTCCTCCGCAGCAACTGTCACCTGGTCACGAATGTGGTGCCACAGGTCGCGCACTGTGGCTATGCAGTCCACATCACCACACAGTCGTGCAGCCATCACCTTCTCCACATCAGTACGTTTCGTCACAGTACCGAGGGAGAGAATGTTAAATTTACGCCGATTCACGGCGGGAGTGCAATACATAGATTTACGAAAATATATGTACAGTCTGGCCCTCACCAATTTGTGATCAGTGCCACACCCGGCTCCACGCAGTACACGTGTCATACGCACTTCATGCATATCACGCTGACGTACGATGACATAGTCGAGCAGGTGAGCGTGACCACTCCGTGGGTGCGTCCAGGTTGCTATATCACTCGCACTCAGTGCAAACCGAGTGTTCGTGATCGTCAGGCCGTGAGTGGCACACAGTGAGAGTAGCCTGTCACCGTTCGCATATATATATATATATCCGTAAAACATATTTTCTGACCTCGCGAACTTATCTCGGATCCCCTGTTAGCAACTTATTTCATATGTTCATTAAGTTAACATTTTTGTCGCGTTTCCTTATGCATTACTCGATTTCTTTCTTTGTTATCTTTCTCTCAAGTAAATGGCTGTTGCTTGATATCCTTGGTGTGGCTGCGCTTGATGTGCATGTTGACAAGGTGCCTACCTATTACCCACTACCTCATCCATACTGGCTCCAGGAGATAGTTGGTCGTTGCTGGAGGGAAGGGGGCACGGTCCTTGTGGTCATGCTTGGCTCGAAGAGTGGTTCCATGCACTCAGTGTGGAGCGGACAACGGTCCAGGCACCGCCTTGTGTGCGATTGATTCTCAGCTACAGCGTGCTTGTGTTTGCCTGTGAAGGAGTGTGGGCCGGTTCCGTTGATGAAACGTGGCTCCCATCCACACGCCTCCCGGTCTTATTCCTCCGGATTTACACTGGATATGGGGTATGTGGTTGAAGCTGTGGGTGGTGCAGCGCAAGGCACCCACGGTCCATCTGTAGGCGCAAGCGTCCTGTGGCTGGCCACAGTGACAGGCAAATCCGAATCCGTGTGCCGCCAGCCATATATTTCCCTCTAGGTGTAGCATTCTGCATTCTTCTGTATTTCGCTTTTCATCTACCTTTTTTGTTGCGGCCCGTTAGCTGAAGTTTTGTTTCCCACCTTTTCCTAACGTCTCCCGGAGTACATCCAAAGGGAACTCGGTAGTGGAATTTTGTTCGGTCTGTTGTTTGTGTAACAGATTCATATGTCGAATGAAAGACTATGGTGCTCTAAACACAGTGTATCTTTCCTATCGTGGCATGTTGCCAGGTTTGATGCTCTTGTATCCAACGGTTACGCCGGCTGCTCTGGGCGAAAACTCCTGCTTGCGCCTGGCGCAATTTACCTACAGGCTTATTACGTCAATTAGTAGACTTCTTTCGCACCT